TAATATCTTCTTCATTTCAATCACTTAATCACTTAATATTAATGAATTAAGTGGTTAAGTCAAAAACTTAATTCTAATATTAAGTGTTAAGTGATAACTTTAAACTTAATTTTAAGTTAATGTAAATGGTCCACCCCTAGTACAGACAGATTTATTACTTTTAAAGATCACTTGTGGACGGTTTGCATAAAAGTTTATAACATTCATAAATCTTAAAGATGGTGGCTATACATTGCACTTTCATAAATGCTCCATAAAGGCATCCGAACTTTCTAAACGCTTTTTAATAACCTTTAAACTGATTATCAATATGTTATATAGAAGAATTCATGAGGATCATGAATTATACAAAGGATTTATGGAAGTCTACGTGAAAGGAGTCATAAGAATCAGCAATTGCATCAAGGATTTATGAAATGGTGTCTGAAAGGCTTCTATTTTATGAACTTCTCGGCGTTGACAGCAGACTTATCTAACAAATTCTCAAAGAATGAAAATGATCGAAAACCCAATAGCACTCAGTCAACACTCAAGCGCAATAATACAAAACATTGTAGTTCGAAACTAAAAAGAAAGTGAATTGTATTATTTTATTTTCCTTTATGAAAACTTCAATAACTATTAGGAAAGCAAATTGTAGAAAGGGAACATATGTAAACTAATTTATTCGATTCTTCGCATGAAATATTCGACAGATACCCACAGAACTAAATCCAGAAAAACTTAAGTGAAACTAATTTATGTAATTTCTTTCATAAGACGTAATAAAATTATCGTTCAAATAATAGAGTGAAACAAAAATGCTTTATTCGATTTCCTTCAATATGATGTTCGACAATTACTAGAATAACTAAATGAGGAAAAGAAGACTATAAAGCCAGACAGATTTCTGATTCTTGTTCTCTGAAAAAAAGCCATCTCAAAACTAACAGAGCAATTAAATGAAGAAAAAAAAGTTAAATTAATTTTCTAATTATATTTTCATTGTAAAATGAGCAAGAACCAGTAGGATAATTGAACAAAGTAACAGAATATGAAAACTAAACAAGTTACCTCTATTTCTCGCAGAAAAAGTGGAGGAAGTACGATTATAATTAATAGAACAAGAGATACTAGACTAAGTAATTCCATTTTTTTTGATAAAATGTAAGATCACTTTTGGCACAACTAAATGATGAAATACAAAATTAAACTGAGCCAACTTATTTAAATTTTTCTGTACGGCAGCATGTAACTATGAGAATAAATGAATTCAGAAAAAACGAATTAAACTAAATAGGCTTTCTAGATTTTTCTCAGAAGATAACGGACAAAACTCGGAGTAACTAAATGAAAACAAAAAAAGGAAAAGGTGTTTTTTAATTCCATCGTCACTGTAAAACTACCAGCAACTATCGAGATAAGTAAAAGAAAAGTAAACTAAACTAGTTCATCAATAGTGGTAACTCTTTCGCTTTCTTAGTATTTTCACAAGGGAAATGAAAGCTGAACGGGTGTGCGTGTGAGTATGAATAAAGAGATCGTCGCAATACCCACACGTGCACTCCATCAGACATTTTAATCGTGACATTTGGATTGTTTTTTGTCTTCAACGTAATACACTAAATCAGACTGTTGACGATCTCCTGTTCAATCAATAGTCTACTGTAATGACCAATGATATCGATGACTATAGGATTATTTCTTAAAATCTTCTTCTCAGCCCATTGCATCGTGATCTAGTTGTTCATCCTCAATTTTACACGACAGAATGCATGTTGGATGAACTATTCGATTGATATATTCTTTTCTGATATGTTCCAAGAGTAGAACAAGTTGATATTCGTTGTATACATACTAGATGTCTAGATCTATTTTATGCTAGAATTTCAACTGTTCACTTATTGTTGTTATGAAGATACAAGTGAAGTAAAATTTACAAAAAATTTATGAATTAATTCTAGAATTAATAGTTGACCATAAAGAATTATAGTGTTAATATTTTCAAATTTTCTCCGCTTTTATCTACTTGCTCAACACACATGTTTGAATCAAAAGATTCAGCGTGAAATTCTCTGCAAATCCATGAATAACTTGGATTGAAACTCGTTTTAAATATGGTAGAAAAATGATGAAAAATAAAAACATTCAAACAGATGCCAAAAAATAAGTACGAATGTGAAGATGGAACTGATGAAAAGCCGATATGCAGTATGTTATGAAGAAGTCGATTTTACTGAGGGTGTGGGTGTTGGTGGGTGGGGTGTGGGTGTGAGCATGACTTTTCTTCGCCGACACCCACACCCACATCCCACACCCACACCCACACCCACACCCACACCCACATCCACACCCACATCCACACCCACATCCACACCCACATCCACACCCACACCTACACCCCACACCCTGTACATATTACTCTTGTTGGTTTTTTCCCGCCAGAATACTGTAAATATTTATATTTGTTTTATGTGTCACGTTGATGGCAAGCAAAAGAAATACTCTCGTTCACAAGAACATATAAAGGGAACGTAGATTTCTTATATCCACAGTAGTGCAGACGCGCTTTTCGTTATGTACGATCGTAGATAAGATAAGTACAGGAACTTATCGACAACAGAATGAATTTTTGCTTGCTTGTTTGACAGCTCTTATTATGGCCGAAATGTTATATATATTAATTGTTCTGATGGTATTAATCGGAGTTAACGACATGTGGGGAGCAGAAGCAGCTTCGTACGCACAATGTGTAGCTGCTTGTCGAGCTGGTGTAACAGCAATGGAAGTATTCTGTCGTTGTGTGCCACATCCGGCTGTACGAGCACTGTGTTGGAGTGTTACGCATTATGCTGGAACTGCAAGCGTGGTCATGTGTACGGGATTTTGTGCAATTAATTTTTAAAACACCAAAAACTATTGGGTTGGCGGAATGAAAATTGGACACTTTTTTTTTTTAATTAAGACAATTCTAGAAACATCGCGAAGGTTCTATAATGTATGTATAAATAGAGTGTGATAAGTATTATCATAATATATAATATTCTTTATATTGCGTTTATTACTTTATTAAAAAATGGAAAAATCTAAAGAACATATTAGATATTGTTTACTTTATGAATATTAATTGGGCCACACTGTAGGAGAGGGTGTGGGTGATTGAAAAAAAATAACCCATATCCACACCCACACCCCACACTCGCCACTAGACCCCGTCGGGTCCAAGATTTTTGGACCCGAACCCGGACCCGTTTACAATTTGCTACATTCGTACCCGGAACCGGACCCGTTTGTTTAAAAAAGGCTGGACTCGGACCCGACCCGGACCTGCTTGTTTAAAAAATGCTGGACCCGAATCCGACCCGAACCTGGTTGCTAAAATTTTTTGGATCCAAGCACGATGATAAATCAGTTTCGATAATATATTCAAAAAGTCTTTTGTTGCTTTTTTGTATATTTTCTAAATACATTTAATTTCTTTTCTTCGTGAAACAAACAAAATTTTGAAAAAATTCACAATACATTGTATGCATCAAAGTTTTCTTCAGATCTGGACCCGACCCGAAGCCGGTCACAAAAAAGTTTCAGACCCGGAACCCGACCCGGACCCAGCGAAAACGAAATTTTTAGACCCGAACCCGGACCTGAGCGGGTCCGGGTCCTACCCGACGGGCTCTACCCGCCACCCACACCCTCACACCACACCCACATCCCACACCCATATCCTCACACCCACACTTCACACTTCACACCCTCACACCCCACACCCACACCCTCACACACATACCCCATACCGACACCAGCCAACAAAGTGCTCTATTCTCTATTTTTCTATCAAATATTTACTATACAAGTGAAGGTTGCCATTAAAGTATGCTGTGTGCAAAGATATCGACTATCCGCGAAAGAAGAAAAAAAGCATGTGCATTTATTCACTCTTTTTCTCACTCTTTCTGCGAATCACTGATGTGACGCAAAACACATACTGTATCGTTGCCAAAGAATAAGACAAGGGCCTGGGATGTTTTGTCGAGTCTTTTTGAACACAAGATATTCATTGTAGAGTCCTTAATCGATTGACGATCGAACAGCGCAGAAATGAAACTTTTGAAGGGTGTGAGTGTGGATGTGCGTATAGACAAATCAAAGATACAACCCACACCCACACTCCATCATTGATACTAAAGCATTCCCCTTTTTTGGTGGTTTCTATTCATGTAATCAAGGCAAGGCAGAATTAAATTCTCGTGAACAAAAATGCTCAGACGGCTATAACATCTATGTCATGGAGGCCAGTGACACTGAATGCTTACCATATATCTGCCTAAAATTTCGAAACTTCAACGATCTTAGGCAGTTGTCACCTGTTGTTTTACCACTTTTTTTTTGAGATCAATGTTAGAAATCAAACTAGAGGTGTCGAAAACGAAACATATAACAATCCATATGGCACTACAATCGTCAAACTAGATCGGGTGCTACTCATCGTTCACATGAACTTTCCTAATTGATACTAACGAATGCTTAGATAATCCGTAATTTTATAGAGTGCTTAGCTTGAAAATGCAGGATGATCATCACCAATTACCAGCCACATCTATCTAAAAGTTTTCCATTTATAATTAAACCTCAGCAAATAAGATAATAAAAGAACATATTGTTTGATAGGTTGTATCAGTTGTCGCTGGATATGGATCTTCGCTTCATCTACACCCACATCCACCCATGGTTATTCCCGGATAATATAAATGCTGATAAAACAGTATCTTATCAAAATCAGGCGAGAAAACATTATTATAATCTTTGCTAATTTTTTCGCATAAATTTTCAAACCATTTTCTATTCAATGTTTAATAAAAAAAAATTGTATGATAGAACAACAATTATACAGAAAAAAATTATATTTTAAATTTTCATTGAAAATAGGTCAGTTACTGCAAGTATTAACATAATTGTATTATACATTTTGACATTTTCAAAGGTTTTTAACAAAAATAGACGAACATTTTTAGTACACAGAATTATGAACAATAAAGTGAACAATGTAAAACAATAATTAATGCTAAAATAAAAGCATGATCTTCTTGTTTTCTACCATTATTTGAATTAATTACTTCAACTTCATATGTATCAGCAATTGCAAAAAATTTTTTATTTACAATAGCAATTGTTTTATCATCTTTGTTCTTGAGTACAAATGCATGATCAAATATATTAAGTCCTTTCAACTTATACTCACCATATATTGAATAAATTTTATAACTATGTTTAAAAAAAGTAAATTTTTGTCTTATAGATGCAATCTGTTGATTTAAGTTACTATCACAAGCTGATAAAATACTAAATTGATCAAGTAAATAAAATCCTTTTTGGCAAATTTTCAAAAGAGCACTAAAAAAAAATAATAATAATAACATATATATGAAAACATATTTCTATAGTACTTTTAATTTACCTGCCATTCATATCTTCAAGTATAAGTTTTCTATCTAGTGTCCAGGGTTTTGATCGAATAATATATTTATCATGTCCAAGTTCATCTTTGATTTTATAACTATTACTTAATGTAAAAAATTTTTCTCGAATTAAATAACGACAATTAGTTATAGATTCTGGCATATATATTTGACTGGATGTCATCGTCTTATCAAACGCAAGTCCACATAGAATGACTGAAAAAATAAAAACAAAAAACAAGAAAGAAAAAAGTACACGTTGTAGTAAGGCAACAGAACAGGCATACAAAAAAAGAAAAAAAAAAGACAGAGATCGACGCAATAGTGCGAATGGTAGAAGTAAATCATGGAACCTTCCATTTTTCTTTATCGATGACATGTTTTATAATAAAAACTATTCAGCATGTAATCTATTTCAAAATATAACTATACTTCACATCATGATTTTTATCTTAATTAGGTAAATATTTTTGATATTGTGAATAGCGAGAATCAAAAATAGATTCTTTGATTATTTTTATTTATAATTAAAAATAAACATTACAATTTTATTTGAATATCTTGTGTAATAATAAATAATATTTATCTGCATATGTTTGACATACGAATCGAATGTATCGTTAATCATAAGTTGATATATTTTTTCAATTCCTAAATGAGTTTTCTTTGACAAGAAGATACTCTTGTTTGAAGAAAGACAATATATAGATAAATAATAATCAACAATTATTTACATCGGCTATGAGTATAACTTATAAGTAGTAGGGCGATGATTAGAGGATAATCAACTATTTATGTGTCAAACTACCGACGATTCTTATTTGATTCAAGTCACATGGGTCGGATGTATCGAATGTGAGTCTTCTGCTCATTCATAGCCAAATTCTTATATTGAAATAAAAAATTAATTACGATGAGAGAAGCTTCTATTATACATTGATTCATAATTCAACTAAAGTTTATCTTTAGGCTAAGTTTCCTTAAATTTCTCATTTGGAATATGAATATTATAATTGTAATAAATTTCACTTTATGCTATCACTCATCAAAAAGATTAACTTATTTTGTTTCGTTTATTTTTAAAGTTATACTCAATAATTTCAATCTTCATCTATATTCGAAACTCAAATTACACAACTCATGGTTTACACCCAATACGAATATTATTCAAAGGTAAACTCTATATTAGAATCCAAAAATAACATCGACTGAAGACATATTTTCATAATCTTTAATTTTTGTTACATAGACATACCTGTGTTTATTGCATTAAATAAATTCTCTCATTAGTAAATAACAATACAACAAAACGAATACAAATGATGTCTGTCAATAAGTGATGATGCATAATTATCTCTGTGATACAATTATAAGAGGATGTCGAGTAGTCTGTATAAATTGTTCATCAGAATAATCATCATCAAATATTGGTGTTCGTGGTTGTAATGGTGTTTGAGAATGAAAATAATCTCTTAATTTCAAAAAAGAATTGGTGTAGGTGAAGGTGAAGGTGTTGAAAGAGATAGAGCAGAAAGTAATGATGATATTTGAGAAAGTATTGGTGATACTGATGGTGTAGGTGAACATTCCATAAAATGAAGATCTTCTTCTGGTTCTATTGTTGGTATTGGTAGAGATACAGGTAATGCTATAGTAACAATCGGTTTTTTTTATGATCATTTCCATAAATTAGCCATTTGTTCAGTAGTTAAATAATCATGATCAAGTATAATTGTTGAATAATCTAATTTTGATTTATGTTTTTTAACTTGTGGTACAGTTATAATCATATCACTTGATCCATCTTCCCAACATTTTGGTGGTGCATGTTTATGTTTTTTTTGTTAATAATAATAAATCTTCTTCTTTTGTTATTGCTGGTAATGGTACATTGGTAGCAATTAATTCCATATAAATTAATCTAGCATCATTTAATGTTGTATAAAAACATGAACGTGATATACTTGCTTGTCAATTATTACGAATTAAAAAATCACGTTACAAATTCAGGATACATTACAATCAGACATTGTAATAATTTAGCATAATGTTTTATTGTTGATAATGAAAGATTATTTAATAAATTTTTTGATAAATCAACAAGACATATATGTTCAATTTTATTAATAAATAATGATGGTACAGATATATTATTTATAATAGATGATGATATAAGACGATTATGTGTAAGAGATGAACGTTATTGTGGAAGATCAAGATGAGATACATCAAATCATGATAAATGAAGATTTGATTCAATTAAATCAACTTTTAAATTAGCACGAATATCATTAATATTTGGTGTAGGACGTGAATTAAGATCAGCAACAAGTGAATTTACAGAGGGCAGTCAAAAAGTAATGACAATGGTACTTTAGTTCCTTATAAGAAGCTTTAAAAACCTTTCTTTCTATATAGTCTGATAGAGAAAAGAATGCTCTATTTTTCTATGCTATTTGATTATACTTTAACTAATCTAATGATAATAAATTTTCGGTAAGACTTTTTTCATTACCATATCTACTGGATGAAAGTTTGCATTGCAGTTTTCAGTCCCTTAATACATCGTATCAAAAATCAAAATATACCATAAGATGCATCATGAAAAGTTCTACATTTTATACACGATCAATTATTTTCTAGCTGCACTTTTTGTTTTCAAAACTGACAAAGTTTTGGGCGATCAGAGTTCGACCATGAAAAATAGATCATATTTTTAATATATGGGTGTGGATATGAACGTGACAGAAGACACCCACATCCCACAACCCACACCCATCCCACACCCTTTCGAAAATTTGATTTTTTTTCGAAAGTAATTCCGTCCCCAAGGGATTAATTAACGGACAGTCTTTTATTATATCTGAATTATTGTCCATCGGAAGACCTTTTCTTATGGAGTAGTCTTCGTATGAAACGAGTCTTTTATTATAGAAATAAAGATATAGAATAAAACGAACGAGTTGAAATAATAATTATGTTGTTTTAGCTTTTTCTGATGGAATGTTAAAACACTTCATTTTCGATTCGGTTTAAATTGTGGAAAACTCGAGCCGAGTCCCGGTGTGTTCTGACATCCACTATTAATAGTTAAAGAAAAATGAACGAAAACGAACTTTTATTTCTTTTATTTCATTTGAAGCCTACTCGCAAAGGACGAAAGAAATCCATTTGTCATTCATATAGACATTATCAAATTTCACTACCAAAACTCAATCAAATCAAAGGCAACCAATAGCTTCTACTGTGAAGTGTTTTGAAATCAACTGATGTCGTCAAGTATAATTATTTGCACATGCAAGTTATTACACAATCAGAAGAAACTTATGTCACAAGATAAATATATATATATATCTGAATGAAAAGCAGAATTTAACTACACATACTTTTTAAAAAAACACATATCTCAACGTATTCAACGATGGCTGATAAATTTACTTGGACACTTCAAACATTACCGATAGAACTTCTCTACCGTATCCTCGATCATCTTGAAGTATTAACTATTCTATGTTCAATGCAAAATGTTTGCACACGAATTGATGTAATCTTAAATACTTATCATCGATATCAAGTAAATTTCTTTTGAATTTCAAACTCTCATTTGCTCTGGATTATATTATGTGTTTTTTTTTCTGCTTCAGTTTATCATCTATGATGAGCTGTCGTCACATGTATAAATTACTAGAAAGAGATATTAGGAAAAAATATCGATACAAATGATTATAATATGAGAAAATCGAAATAGCTAGAGCTGATGAAAGTGAATAGAGTTGAAGATGGCGTATTCATGAAGCTATTAGCTAATATAAAAAGATAATATCTAAATCGAAATGTGTTAAATCATGTTTTGAGACAATAAATTCCATCGCTACAAAAACACGATAAACAACTAATATTTTCTATTTCATAAACGTTTTATACAAATCTATCATCCTTTCAAATCATTCTTTTCTTGAAAAAACGGAATACTTTCCTCTTCTGATCTTCAAAACTTTTTCAATTTTTTAACGAGATTTCTGATAACATACTTGTTAGTAACTTTTTGTACGATTAATTATTAGATTAATAACTTTAACCATAAGATTGTCAATGAGCTATCTGGAGAGTGGAGGGATGGGGTGATCTTCACTCTCACCCTTAATCTTGGAAGTCAAAACAGGAAAGTACCAAAAAAGTCACTCAGTCACTTACTAAAACAATTTATAGTATACAAAAATGAACTATAGTAATGCGTTGTCTTTCACTTGTTAAGTTTGAAAATTCCATCCATGGACAAGCTAAGTTATAGTGGATTTAATTTAATGTCAAAATTAAATAAATTATATCAAATTGAACCGAAGAGAGTTTTTAATATTTATTCCTTAGATAGATCTGTACACTAGACACGTTTAAAATACACCGGTTCCATTCCAGCGTAACAACACATGTTTTTCTACCAAACGAATTTGAATTGTCATACGTTTTGACTGTAAATTTCATCTTGTGCTGAATATTAAATATCGTATGTATTCTTTCTCTTTGTTATTTTCCGACATATAATCAGCAGACAACATTGAAAATAAAATTCTGCGTAGAATCCTAAATTTACATCTGACATTTGAAATCAATAGCAGTCAATATAGAACTATGATACATTTGAATTGGATTTCCTAGTATCCGACATTGTGATGAATGACTTACAAACTATTAGAGCAAGATACTTTATTTTTATTTATATAAAATACATTTTAATGCAGGCATTTACCACTCTCGATCTTAGTCGAACATACATGAGCAATCAAAGAGTACAACATATAGCTAATGCTTTACAACATAATACAGTAAGATTTCTTATATACTCATCTATTTCAATGCATACTTGTATTATTCAACACAGACACTTATCACTCTAGATCTTAGAAATACCTACATTGGTGATAAAGAAGTCCGACATATCGCTAATGCATTACACTATAACAGAGTGATATTAGTTCTCTACTCATCTATGTCAAATACCCTTGTTTTATTGAATGCAGACACTTACCACACGCACTCTTGGCCATTTCAGAAACGCTGTTGAAGTAGTACGACATTTAGCCAATGCAAAACGTGGAATCATAGTAAAATAGGTTCTCTATTCAGGTATCTTATGTCCTTCTGTATCATTTAATATAGACAGTTACCACGTTGAATCTAAATGACTATGGACTGCGTGACGTAGAGACACAAGTTATAGCTGACGCATTACAGCAGAATACAGTAAGATTAGTTCTTTAGTCATCTATTTCACATGTACCTGTGTTATCCATCATAGATACTTACCCTTCTGAATCTTCAATATAACCGTATTGGTGATGAAGGAGCTCAACATCTAGCTACTGCATTACAATACAACACAGTAATATTAGCTCTCTAGTCCTCTATGTCAGATACATCTATTTCATTGAATGCAGACACTTACTGAGCTAAATCTTGTCTGCAATAATATCCGTGATTCAGGAGCGCAATATTTAGCGAATGTGCTACACAATAATAAGGTCAGATCAATTTTCTATTCATCCATTTTGCATGCATTTATATCATCGAATGTAGACACTTATCACTCTCAATCTTGGACAGAACCGCATCGGTGATGCAGGAGCAGAATCGTTAGCGGGTGCATTACGACAGAATGCAGTGAGATTAGTTTTTCACTAATAGGTCGCACATACATTTGTGTCATTTAAACTAGACACTTACCACTCTGAAGCTTGAAGACAATAGCATTAGTGCTGACGCAGTACTACAGCTACTGCACGTTTTGGAACAGAATACAGTAAGATAAGTCTTCTACCAGTTTATGACGCATATATTAGTACCATTCTATGCAGACACTTACCACACTCACTATTGACCATTTCAGAAACGCTGCTGAAGCAGCACGACACTTAGCCAATGCAAAACGTGGAATCATAGTAAAATAGGGTCTCTATTCATGTTTCTGATGTGCTTCTGTATCATTTAATATAGACAGTTACCGCATTGGATCTAAATAGCTATGGACTCCGTGATGCAGAGGTACAAGTTTTAGCTGATGCATTACAGAAGAATACAGTAAGATTAGTTCTCTGTTAATCTGTTTCACATGCACCTGTGTTATTCATCATAGACACTCACTACTCTGAATCTTCAATATAACCGCATTGGTGATGAAGGATCTCGACATCTGGCTAATGTATTACAACACAACAAAGTAACATTAGTTATCTAGTCGTCTATATCAGATACATCTGTTTTATTAAACGCAGACACTTACCAACCTAAATCTTGCCCATAATAATATCAGTAATGTAGGAGCAGCCTATATAGCGAATGAATTACGGCAAAATATAGTGAGATTACTTCTTTTTTCACCGATCTCACATGCCTTTGTTTCATTTAACTTCAGACACTTACCACGCTAAATCTTCAATGGAACAGCATTAATGGTGAAGGAGTACTGTATCTGGTGCATACCTTAGAACAAAACACAGTAAGATTAGACTTCTACCCATTTATGTTGTACGCATTTCTGCCATTCAATGCAGACACTTACCATGCTGAGTCTGAAAAGTGACAGGAACGATGCTGAAGTGACACGACACTTAGCGCATGCTATATACTCGAGAACAGTAGAAGTTATCAACTAACTTGTCTTCTGTACATTTGTTTAGTTAATCTAGACACTAACCACGTTGAATCTGGACAGCAATCAACTCTATGATGTAGAACTACAAGTTTTAGCTGATGCATTACAAAAGAATACGGTAAGATTAGTTCTCTATCCATTCATTCCAAGTATCTCAGCTATACAACATAGACACTTACCGGTCTGTCCCTTCAACGCAACGGAATCCGTTATGTAGGGGCTCGATATCTAGCTAATGTTTTACAACACAACACAGTACGAGTGTTTATCTGTTCATCTATCCCATAATATATCTGCATCGTTCAACATAGACACTTACCACACTGGCTCTTAATAACAACAGAATCGATTCTGCAGGAGCAGAATATTTAGCGTGTGCACTACAAAAAAATAAAGTAAGATTAACTGTCTATTCAATTCATCTATTTCTTATACATCTATATCATTGAATGCAGACACTTATCACTTTGAATCTTGAATATAATAGCATCGACGATGTAGGAGCGGCACATTCAGTGAATGCATTACGACAGAATACAGTGAGATTAGTTCTCTACCTATCGATCCTACATGGGTTTGTTTCATTTAATCCAGACACTTGAAACTCTGTATCTTGGACATAACAGTATCAGTGCTGAAGGAGTACTGTATCTACTGAATGTCTTAGAACAGAACACAGTAAGATAACCCTTCTATCCATTAATGTCGTATACGACTATCTCATTCAATGCAGACACTTACCACCTTGAATCTCATAAATAACATGTACTATGGTCTAGCGGCACGAAACTCAACGAATGCAATATGTCCGACTGTAGGAAAATCAGTTACCTACAGGATGTTCCAAAAATTACTTTACACTTCTTACTCGATAAATCGCACACATTTAAAGATTGTTCTAAATGTTTTATTAATTATATTTTGTACATCATTATTTACCATCTCTCTGAGATATCCCAAGCGTCTCTTTGACAATAAATAATGATTTATGAATAATGACTAATGAAAAATAATGTTTCACATGTGTCCAAATATGTGCAGTACCAAGTGTAAAGTGACTTTCGTGACACCCTCTACTTATTTTTCTTATCTGAATTTGTTCATTTAATCTAGACACTTACCACACTGAATCTGGACCAGTATAGACTCCGTATTGTAGGAATACAAGTTTTAGCTGGTGTATTACGGTACAATACAGTAAGATTAGTTCTTTACTGATCTATATCATCTGCAGCTATGTCATTCAATGTAGACACTTACCACGTTAAATCTTGAAAGGAACAACATTGATGACGTACAGGTGTACTCTTTAGCTTTTGCAATAGGAAATGCTAGAGTTAGTTTAGTTTTGAGTCCCTCTGTCTCATCATGTATTTGTATATTTCAATGCAGACACTTATCAAGTTGAATCTTGGAAACAACATGATTGGTGCTACCGGAGCATTCCATATTGCGAATGCATTAGAAAACAATAACGTAAGACTGGTTCTTTAGCCATTTATTTTCATTCATCTGGATCTTCCAATGTAGACAATTACAACACTAGATCTTAAAAATAATAGAATTGGTAGGTCAGGAGCAAAATATTTAGCTGCCGCATTACGGCGAAATACAGTAAGAGTAGTTCTCTACTCTTCAATATTATATACATTTGTTTGATCCTATCCAGACACTTCTTACATTAAATCTTCAAAATAATCAAATCGGTGGGGCAATAGGTTTCGCTTATGCATTACAAAAGAATACAGTAACATTAGTTTCCTATTCATCTATTTCATATTCTCGTGTATCATTCGTCGTAGACACTCATCAGGCTAAATTTGGAAGATAACCAAATCAGTGCTGAAGTAGCACAAAGGATAGCGAATGCAATACGTCAAATTACAGTAAAATAAGATATCTATTCATTTGCTTCATCTACATATATATCATTCATTGTAGACATTGACTATCTTTAATTTTGAAAGGAATGCAATCGATGATATGCAACTGCAATATATAGTCAATACATTACGAAATAACATAGTAACATTAGTTCTTTACTCATCTATATCATATGTATTTCTATTATTCAATGCAGACACTTACCACTCTCAATCTTGAAAGTAACAAAATTGATGATATAGCTGCAAGATATTTATCAGATCCATTAGGAGAGAATACAGTAAGATAAGTTCACTACTTACCTATTGCATATGTATCTGTATTCTTCAATGCAGACAATCACTATCCTGAACCTTAAAAACAACGCAATTCATGATCAAGAAGTAAGATATGTCGCTAATGCGTTACAACAGAATACAGTAAGATTTGTTGTCTACCCTCATTGTCATGTCGGCCTATATGATTTGATGCAGACACTTACCACACTGAATCTCGGAAGCAGCAGAATTGGTAATAAGAGTGCAAAATATTTAGCGAATGCATTACGACAGAATACAGTATGATTTATTGTCTATTCTCATTATCATGTCGACCTGCCTCATTCACTGCAGACACTTACCATGCTGAATCTCGAAAGAAACAGAATTACTAATGTGGGTGCAAAACGTTTAGCAAATGCATTACGGAACAATAATGTAAGATTAGTTTTCTATTCATCCATGTGGTGTGTATTTTTATCATTTAACACAGACGTTGACTGCGCTATATATTGGATGGAACTGTATTGATGATGAAGGAGCGAAATATCTCTCTAGTGCATTGCAAGAGAATACAGTAAGATTAGCTTTTCATTCATCTATTTCTTATGTATTTGTATCAATCAATATAGACACTTATCACACTGAATCTTGAAGGGAACGAAATACATAACAAGGAAGGAGAATATTTCATAAAAGAAATGACAATGAATCTGTCAAGGGTTAAACTTTGATAATGACTAATCGTAGTTTTGGTTGATAAACATTTCTCACTAATTTTTGAATAACATCATGTGCTTTTGGTGATTACATAGTGATCCAAAAAACGAATAATCAATTTTTTAACAGAAGTGTTTGCATCTAATAAAAGAAGAGATGATTTTATTGATGCGCCGACAGTTGAACTCCCGATAGTTGAGCCCCGACAAATGAGCCCTCGACAGTTGAGCTCCCGACAAATGAGCTCCCGACACTTGAGGGTGTGAGTGTGGGTGTGGATTTGACTGTGGGTGTGGGTGTGGGGTGTGGGTGTGGGCGTGGATGTGGATGTAAGTGTGGATGTGGATGTGAGTGTGGATGTGGGTGTGGGTGTGAGTGTGAGTGTGGGTGTGGGTGTGGGTGTGAGTGTGGGTGTGGATGTGGATAAAATGAACACCCATACCCACATCCGCACCCATACCCACACCCACAGCCACATCCACACCCATACCCACACTAGGGGTGGGAAGTTACCGTTACCCGGGAGTTACTTTACCGGGTAACTAGTAACTTTTGAGTTACTAGTTACCGAGTAACTAGTAACGCCGGAGTTACTAGTTACTTGGTAACTAGTAACTCCTATGTGCGTTACTAGTTACTCGGTAACTCGTGAGCTGAATAAGTACTGTAATGATGGTATTCACTCATTAGGAAGCGATATCTCCACTTTTTAGACAAGTTACCTACCAAAAGTAACTAGTAACTCCGAAGTTACTAGTTACCTGGTAACTGGTAACTCCGACGTTACTAGTTACTCGGTAACTAGTAACTTGCGAGTTACTAGTTACTTGGTAACGTAACAGTAACTTCCCACCCCTAACCCACACCCACACCCACACCCTTTCGACTAGATGATAAATGAAAAGTATTTTCTTTCTTGATAAACTAACCCTCAGATTGTGTATTATTGTCAGTATGTCGATCATGATTGTATGAAATTCCATCTGAATAAAAAACAGCATCAACTTCAAAAAAAGTTTCAATAAGTGGTTGAATTATATCTTTATATATTGATTGTAATGAATCATTAAAATTATGTCTTAATATATAGTTCTACAGATATAATGTGAGTGTTTTATTTGTACGTCAGTAAAAAAACATGTTTACTTCATTTCCATAGAGTTTTCAAAGTTGATCAGTGTTTTTAAACAAATCATTTAATGAAAAATCATGATCAAGAAATAATTGAACAAAACTTCTTTGATTTCGAATAAGAACTTTGAAGAATAAATCATTCAAATTGATTTTCTAAATAGTTATATTCTCATGACTAAAAGTTTTACATTATAATTTATAACTTACTATCCAATCTCGATTCTCTTTCATAATTAAACTTTTGACAATGTCAACTCTATTCCATTCCAATGCCAAATTTAATTGTTCAAGTTTTTGTTCAACATTTATTTCAGTAGAATTTGGTGCTACAATTAAAATATTTCAGTAATACAATGGATGAATATAATTTTTTTTTGTACCATTAAGAAGAGCTTGTAAAATAGCTAAATCAATATCTCTTTCAACATGACTATGAACTTTAAAATCAATAAAATTTAAAAGTATCATTTGCTTTTCAATACATTCATAAATTAATTCAAAATAATTCATTTCTTTATCTATATCTAATGGATATATATTTATTTTATCATTAATTGTTTGTAATATTTCACGAAGTTTATTCTTTATTTGTTGATTTCTTTCCAATAAATATGATTGATCAACACTATAAACACCAATAAACAAAACAAAAAAAAACACATTATAATCAAAAATATAATACAACAAACTTTGTTTCAACAGATGTTCGCGATTTCGAATGATATTCATTATATAAATGATAACATTTAGAGATCAATCATAAAAGAACATCCAGGCAAAAGGGGGTGGAAGAGACAAGCAAAAATTGACATTTCTGGACAGGAGGAAAATAGATCAGACACATCTCGATCTCCGGAGACAGGAGCGAGATGGTATGACAATAGAACGGAGAAAAAGATATTTCCATTGTAGGACTTGAACCACACATTTTCTGCTATCAGGACAGATGTCCTAAGCCAGTTAGACTAGAAGGGACATCTTCTCTCTGTCTTCCCAATTTTCAAACGAGCAATCTGTCACAATTCTATTATGCATCATGTACCAATAAACTACGTATACAAAAGATGTATCAGTCGTCTGTACAGAGCTACTGGTGCTTTCAGACATAGCGAGGTTCATTAAAATATGGACCGGAAGCTCTTTAGTGAAGAATAAGAAATAATTTTACATTGAATTTTTCTTGAGTAACCAATAAATAGATAACATTTTAATTTTTCACTTACGAGAAGATCTCTCAAGGTAATAAAAAGCTTTTGGACTCGGACTACTTTTTGTCTTGTAGATTCTAATGAGTAATGAAATACTCTAAGTTGACTTGTGCTCCTATTGTTTCGAGAGAAAGTTATGGCCGGTTTACTGGTTTGTTTACCTATAGTATTGTGTGAGCAGTAGCAGTGAATAAGTGACTTTCGGTTCGAAATTTTGCCCATAAAGAGATTCTATGAACGCTAGAATATTCTGAAAGTTTGACACAAAATGAATGCATCTTTCTTGAGATAATACATTTCCACAAAACGATTATCTTCCAAGATAAATTGTAATTTCATGCGAGAAATAGTCGTTTTGTCAAAAATCGATTATCTCAAGAAAGATGTATTCATTTTGTGTCAAATGTTTACAACATTCTAGTGTTCATAAGATCTCTTTATAGACAAAATCTCAGACTGAAAATCATTCATTCTCTACTACTGCTCATACAATACTATAGGTCAATAAATCAATAAACCGGTCATAACTCTTTCTCAAAGCAATAAGAGTACGAACTAACTTAGAGTATTTCACTATTCACTAGAATCTACAAGATAAAAGTAGTCCGAGTCCAAAAGCTTTTTATCACCTCGAGAGGTTTTCTCATTAGCCATGTGCATAAAGGATACTAGATATTAGAGTGTGGGTGTGGGTGTGAGGTGTGAGTGTGGGTGTGAGAGAAGAGGAGATACCCACATCGACACCCACCCACACCCACACCTACACCCATACCCCACACCGACACCACTCACCCACACCCACACACTCCACACTCACGCCGACACCCACACCTCACACTCACCCATACCCCATACCCACACCCACACCCACACCTACACCTACACCCACACCCCATTCCGTGAAAGTTAAGAAATCCAAGAAACAGAAGGATTCTTCATCACTTATGGCCGATGAAACAGCTGGGAAGCTAAAGACTGTAAGAAATCCAAGGACTTCAATGTTCTTACGACACTTAAGCACAATCACAAAGCTAAGGAATACAACAAATTCAAGGGTTCCATACCGCTTGGGAGACTCGAGAATGGCCGAAAACTTAAGCAACTCAAGGAATTCAAAGATTCCATAGCACTTGGGACAGTCACGAATGATCGGGTAGCTCAAGAATCCAATGATTTCCAGCATTTCATACCCTTGGAACCATTGAGAATGGTTGAAAAGCTAAGGTGTCCAAGGTTTCGAGGATTTTCGAACACTTGCAACAGTCTATGTGTTGAAAAAAAGAAGGAATTCAACGATTCAAAGGATTCTCTAATTCTTGCAGCAATCAGAAATGTTGGAAAAGCTAAGAAATCCAAGAACTTCCTAATACTTTTTGAAGACTGAAGTGGTGCAAAAGCTAAGGAATCCAAGGGACTTAAGGATTCGAAAAATTTCCTCGCACTTGGAACAGTGTAGGATCAAAGAGGAGTCAAGGGATCCAGGGATTACCTAGCGCTTTGAGCAGTCAGAAGTTGTTGGAAACCAAAGGAAAACCAGGATTACAAGGACTTCTTGGCACTTTAACCGGTCAGGAGCAGTGGTAAAGTGAAGAAATCCGAGGATTTCAAAGACTTCATTGCATTTTTTTCGATCAAGATTAATGCAAACACCAAGGATTTTCAGAGAACCATTGATTTTGAAGGTATCGACGTGTTGCAGGGATCGTCAGAAATCTGAAAAACCAAGTTTCTTAATCACTTTGATTGACTTTTAATGAATAGGATATGCCGAAATTTTTCAAGGCTTTCAAGATTTTCAAGGTTTCGGATTTCTTACGATGAAACAGCGTCAGATAATACTAGGTTTGATCAGATATTTCGCTTATGGTATAAGTGGATATTACTAAAATTTTAAAGGAAACTAAGGATTTCTTGGCATTTTCAGTGGTGGAAACTGTTTTCGGAGTGGCCGTATACAAGAGTTGGAAGGCTTCTCATGCATTTCGGAAGTGATGTGATATCAATGCAAAAACCATGGATTCCTAGAGAACCATTGGTTTTGCAGGTGTTGAACAGTGTCAGACAACATCAAAAACACATAAATACGAAGTTTCTTAATGACTTTGATTCATTTTTAATGAATCGGATATGTCGAAATTTTTCAAGGCATCCAAGGTTTCGGATTCATTGTGTACAAACGGTGTGGGGTAATACTGGGTTTGGTCAGATATCTTGTTTATCGGTACAGTACACTTTAGTATAATTTTTCAAGGACTCCACGAATTCCAGCGGTGCTTGTCTGTGTGGATGTCGGTGTTGTTGCGGCTGTGGGTGTGGGTGTGGGCATGGGTGTTTGTCTTTTCTTCACCTAAACCTCACGCCCACACCCCACATTAACATACATCTATCAAATACATCCTCTTTCTCCATTCATCTTTCGAACTGAGAAACATTTGAATAGTTAAAAAAATGGTTCTATCTAAATATAGGAGCATTACAAACAAGTGAATAATTGAATAATATAAAGTACGAGAGAAAAGGCTAACAAGTCTGCAAGAGAATATTTAAACTGTCAGTTCCATTATTGGCGACGGCAATATCTAGTTTTTTGTCATTGTTGAAGTCTCCAACGACAATGGAGAATGGATTGGATCCATAGCCCAACGGAAATAGGATGATACTTGCGAATGAAC